CGCGAGCCGTCGTAGGAGTAGTCGTAGAAGCGAGGTAGCTGCGTCACCTTCTCGCGGGCGGAAAAGTCCGGAAAAAAAGAAAAGGTTGCCACCTTGGCGCTCCAGCTATAGGGCCGGAATCGCCAAACCAGGGACGTGTGTAAGATATATGAACCGAAGGTGTGTGTTGTAGAGGGGCCGTGTTTATGATATGATGAACCGGAATCGCCAAATGAGGGGGCGTGCTTAAGATATATGATGAATCCGAGTCGCGAAATTGAGGGGGCATGTTTAAGACATGTATTTTTTTACTGCATCATCGTGGGCGGTAGCGAAGGCCCTCGTAGCTTCCAGTGGGAGTGACCTTGTGTTGAACCGGATTCGCGAAATGAGGGGGCGTGTTCAAGATATATGGTGAACCGGAATCGCCAAACGCAGTGCGTTTTTGAGAAATATGTGTTTAAGATATATGATGAACCGGAATCGCCAAACGAGGGGCTTTGTTTTTGATGTGCTTTGCTGCTACACTGCCACCGATGAGTGTTCTGAGCGTATGCTTGCGTCTACATTGAGAATGTGTTGATTTGCTGTTTGTTGCAATGCCACGGATGCGCTTCTTGAGCGTCTGCTAGCAGCATCGAGGGTCTACATGGGTAGTGGCTGGTATTGATATGCTAGTACAGTTGCTGTACTCTAGCGGTGTTGGTTTTCTTTGCTGATTATGGTGCTGGGCATGTTGGCAGTGCTTCTATAGGGGTTTGAGGCTTCACCGACCACCAGTAGTGGTATTGCAGTTGAAGCATGAACAGCAGCAGAGCAGAAGTTGTAGATATGGAGGCCGCAAGACGGAAGTCGGCCCAAGATGTGAAAAAAACACAGCGGCCGGGATGGGCATGTGGCATGTACCGATCTACGACCGGGTATTATCGTTCAACCTGACGTAAGTTGCCCCAGGGGTAGACGTCTCGCTATGCCTTGTGGGAAGCCCCCGCAAAACATGCTTTTACTCAGCTTAAAGCTTTGGGTTTTGGGTTCCGGACCATGTTCATGAAGCCACGCATGCTCGTACGAACAGCGTCCGCGCTGGGGGGGGCGACCTGCGTCCTGTTGTTCAGAAACCCTTGAGATCTCAAGCCGTCTCGATCACCCTGTTTGGCGCTGGAGACTCACACCTCCAGCTCCGCACACGTGCGCGCACACACCTTCAACACCCGCACTCACAAAAATGAGTCAAACATGCATGTGCCCGTATGATCGACCCTGCCCAACGGTCGGTACGTGCATTTGGGCCTTCCCCGCAAGATTATGATGCTCCGTACGTGGACAGCAGAAGAAAATAGAAGAAAGCTAGGAAGGCTTTCTGAATGCATGCCAGAACAACCGCAATTTGTGCTTTGTGGTAGTGGAGCGAGACTACGAGGCCACGCGTGCTTCCTATTGAGATCTATTGGGCATGCGGTCTGGGGTTTTGAGTTATATACTTTTTCGAATGTAGAAGTTTGCATGAAAGATTTAAGGTTTCAGCCGTACATCTTTTAGGTCGGTACATTACATGTATTACACGTATCTCGAGTTCGCGCGCGTTTGTCAAATCGAGCGGTTGCCTGGGAGTTGGCTGGTTGTGCATGTGATGTGCAGGATGCTCTACGTAGGTGTTTCATAAACGGCTCCAATGATGTGTGTCTCTCGCGGGTGTAATGGGAATGGTTGGTTTGGACGTGCTGTGATGCCAGTGATGTGTTTCTTGCGCGCTTGTGAAGTCTGTGTCTACACTGGGAGTGGCCATGATTGGCCGGTGTTGAAGTGCTATGATGCCACTGACTTATGTCTCGTGGGCATGCTTGTGAAATCGAGTGTCTACATGCGGACTGGCCGGGATGCCATGTGTGTTTGGGACATGTGCACAGCCCCCCGCCGTATACAGTCCCACCTGTCCACAATGCCCTGTCCGGTTCTCGATTGTCGAGCGGGACTTTATAGAGATCATGTTTCAAATCATTGCTGCCTAACGCTTTGTCTGCGTTCTCGGCCTGGCACAAGCTAGAGATGGCCGTTTTGAGATCCCACCTATCTCTGTAGAGCGAGTGGGTCTGACATGCAGCGACACATTTCTTGCAGCAAGTTCCCACAGACTGACGCGCAGGTTAACCTGCAACACTTCAACACCAATCAGCGCAGAACACATGCTTCCAGCCATGTCTCGAACATTGCTGGCTCAGCGGCTTCAGGGTTTGGAAGATGAGTTGCAGGATGCCTTCCACCGAGTTCAAGATCGGGTAAAAGTCTTACGTCAAGACTTGGTTGAAGACATGACTGCAGAGATGGGGACGGTGGAAGAAGATGCCACGCAGGTTTCCGACTGTTTGCCAAATCAGCTGGAAGACTGGCTGCTCAAAGAGGATGTTTTGTCCATACCCAACGAGGAGCCAAGCACACTCTCCGGCGATGCGCTTCATCTCTCAGCCGAGATGTTGAGCGGAAATGCTCGTTCATATTTGCGCTTAAACTCTCACCTCATGGAACTTTCAATGCGGGCGGCTGAAAGCGTAACTGTTTTCCGAAAAGAACGGATGAGCACTCTCAGTGTATCGCCTACCGCCACCGTCAGTCCACGGACAAAGAAAATCCGGAATGTTGCCGCTCAGCTCAGCACAGAGCTGGAAAAGTGCGAGTCCATTTTCAAAGTTTTCCCGCCGAATTCAACTTTTCGGCTGATCTGGGATTTTTGCGGTATTTCCTTCATCGTGCTTGATGCATTCCTTCTACCTCTGTGTATAGCATGGGGGTGGGAGATCTCACCCATGCCACCTTCTTCGATGACCTTCAACAGCCAATTGTTTCAGCTGTTCGCTATCGTTTCTTTGGTATTTTGGCCATTGGACATCTTGGTGAACTTCAACACGGCATTTTATACTCAAGGCCGTGTAGAGACTCGCCGGTGGCAGATTGCTAAACGCTATGCTGCTACGTGGCTTGCCTTCGATATTTGCGTCGTGACGATTGACTACCTCGCCGGCTTGTTGGCGCAGGCTCTGAGCCCATGGCTCTCGGGCGGTTTTGTGTCCAACCCTGTTTCATTGTCAAGATTCAAAGAAGGCTATTTCGAATTAAAGATGTAAAGTTTCGAAGGTGTCATTCAGGGCTGACAATTGTACAGTTCCAGCGTCATCCGCCTTCGGCAAAAGGGTTGTTGATGGTTGATGTGGTTGGGCTTCAAACACCTGCCAAGATAGCCTTTGATTCAGGTCCCCAAACCCTAAACCCTAGGTGACTGTTTTGACCGATGTTTTGTTTTGGTTTCGCGCGCAGGCAACGGAGGAGCAAGCCACGGGTTTCTTGCAGCCGTTGCGATCTGCTCGGTATCTGCGGATCATGCGTACAGTTCGCATTCTGAGGATCGTGAAAGCAGGAAAAATCAATGTGCTTCTCGAAAACTTAGTCATATCGTTGGGACGGCAATGGCTCATTCTGTCATTCACTGTGGGGAAGATGCTTCTGGTCATTGGTGCAGTCGCGCATATTCTTGCATGCATTTGGTATGCACTGGGTGATACGATATCAAAGGAAAGGGACAGCTGGTTGCAAATCGCCCAAGTCGGAGATGCACCTTTCCAGACGCAATACATTCACTCGCTGTCGTGGATTCTTCTTACACCTTCTCCTGCACCACTGGAACCTGACAGCAACATCGAACATACAGCTGTCGCTCCCCGATAATTTGGTTTGTGCGTGGTAGGAAGTCCTGATTGATTGCCGGTTGTTGAGCACCCGTACTCGTACTTGCAGTAATGTCTCCACACACAGAGCATTCGTGTAGCACCTGTAGCAATGCAGCAAGGTGCTGGTGCTTTTCGTGACGACAGTGCTGGTCATTGGTTCAGCCTTGTCTATTCTCACCGGCACGCTCAACGAGATCCGCCAGGTGAACAGCGAACGCAGCAAAAAGCGCCGAGAACTGCGGATATTTTTGCAGAATCGCTTGGTGCCTACCGAGCTGCTCATGAGAATTATGAGTTATGCAGACTATAAGATGACTCGCCACTCGCCCATTGCTTACGACACCACATTGATATCGCCAATGCTCGAAGCAGAACTGGCCACCTCCCAATTCGGCTCTGTCCTGACAAGCCATCCGTTGCTTGGGTTCATCTCTTCCATGTACCCCTCCGTCTTTGCAGAATGCTGCCGAGCTTTGCACAAGCTTTTCTTCTGCGAGGGAGAGGCCGTGTTTGACGAGGGCTCAATGGCAGAGAAGATGTACATTACCAGCCACGGCAAATTTAAGCTCACTGCCGATTCACTGCAAAATGACGACGTGACCTTCGATGACGACAGTCAATACTTTGCCGAGATCTCCTTGTATGTTGAGGCGGTGATGCACGGATACAGTCTAAGCACCGATTCTTTCTCAGAAGTGTTTTGTCTGAGCCCTGCCGACTTTGCAAAAGTGTTGGTCCATTCACCCATCTGCTGCACGATGGTGATTGAGTACGCCAACGAGTTCATCACCCGTTATTCCACCGGCCCATCATCTACTCAGATCAGTGTTTGGCACCAGGTCGAGCGGGAACAAGAGTGTGCCAAAGGCGCTTGTGAGTGTAACTCCTTCTACTTGGAGGAGCATCTGGGTTGTTCAGTGATATGTTGGTTTAGTTGTTTGTATTTGTGTTCTAATTGTGTACTAGCTAGCCGCTAGCCTAATTAGTTGTTTTCCCCGGGAAGCTGATGAACAGTCTAGGCACGTGGACCACCGGCTGGACCTGGAAACTCTGGATTTGTCATACCTCCAAAACCCAGTGATTTCATCCATGACCGTAAGACCAAAAGATGCAAAAGCGAGTCCAGGGGGGGTGTCATGAAAACGTGCTGCGTTAAGAGTTCTCGAGGATAGCGTGTTCCTTGCTCGTTTCCATTCCAGCATACTCAGCCACAGCTGTCGCCGGATTCGTGTCGCCTCCAGGCGAAACCGATTCTCAGCAGTCGGGTTTGCCCGAGCCTGCGGCGCAGCTGCAGGGAGGAGTGCACGACGGAGTTGGCTTGACCTGCATGGACTTCGTCGCGTCGGTGGTTCGGAGCCAAGAGACGATCGAGGACACGCTCGCGAGTTTGCGCGAGGCCTTCGTAGAGCTGGACCCCGAATACGGCCTCTTAGTAGCACAGTAGAGCTGTTAGCTAACCTTTAACTTGTACAGTCAAAAGCTCAACTTATGTCTTCCCCTACGAACCTGGGCAAGTAAGGTCTGCATGCAAGGTTCTCCGACACGAAGGAGCAGGAGCGTGCTGAGTCTGCCATTCTGAGTCTCATCGCCATCGTGCGGGGCGATTACAGGATGTGCTCCAGAAGATGTTAAATGCGAGGTTTCTGCGAGTTGCGGGCGTCTATACACCTTGTTCACACTAAGCCTCATCCCCAGGCACTAAGCTAAATTCGGCAGACGCAACTGCGCAAACCCCAATCGCCAAGCACAGATAAGGTATACAGCAGCGCAGCCAGAGCAAAGGCGCCTCACCGAGTCTCAGTGGCAACACATACAGGAGCTGTTCGCATGGACTCTTAGATAGCCAATGGGAGAACTTTAAACTTTTTGGCCTTATATATTATGTCTATCCTAAAAAGTTTGAACTTTTTTGGGCCTGGTTGTTGACGAAGAGAGGACTGCTCCCAACGACGAGAAGCTCCTGGCCGTGATCTTCCTCTTGGCGGTAAAGGGGGCAACTAAATACAGGTGGGCCCCATAAAAAACGCTGCGGGGGACGAGGGCCACTAGAACTGGACAAAGAGTGAATTTCTTCGGGGTCCTCATGAAGCTTACAGTATCGAGTCTTCAACTCTTATCGTGGAACACCTTCTATAATATATTATAAACTCGTAGTTAGGAATGATACGATACTTGCTGAATGAACGAACAGATATGCAAGTAGAATCTATCTACCTACCTACCCACCTACCTATCTATCTATCTGTCTATCTATTTAACTCTCCATCTATCTATCCATGTATCTATATATCTGTATATGTATATGTATATGTATATGTATATGTATATGTATATATATATATCAGCACTTCCAGTTCAAATGTTGTACTACAATGTAAGAGTTAAGCTGCTACTAACGATACTTGAACG